CAGCTTAATCATTCCCAGATTTCTGGCCTATATAGACTGTGAGATAATAAATGCTGTTGTTAAAACCAGTAAGTTTGGGAGTAATTTGGTACTTGCAATAGATACCTAAAGTGGCAATAATATGCATGAGAAACAGAAACAGACTATCCCTAACCAAGCCTCAAACCCAGTCGGCCAAGAATGAAACTGATCTGCTGGCACTCTATTTGCTAAAAATAACAGAGACTAGAGACTCCATAATTTTTAATATGCAGCCTGGCATCTGTTCAAAATTTTTGAGACATGACAAAAACAGGCAAAATTTAGTGAAAAAGAAGGTGGGGGGAAAAAAAAAAGAGAGCTGATAATAAAGACCAAGTGTTGATTCAGAATTCAGAGAGATTAAACAATGACTTTTAAATAATCAATATGGGTCATGTAAAGTATGCAGTTTGTCTGCAAAGCATGTAATAAAATGTAAAGTACAACTGTAAGTTCTAAATGCACAATTTAGAAAGGAAGAAAAGCTGTAAAGCATTGATTTAAGCTTTCAGCTCAACAAGCTTGTTGGATAAAAAGCAAATTAAGCTCAAAGGAACAGTAAAGGTAAGAGAAAAAGCAATGAAATAGGGAATATAAATTAGATCCAGAAATTCATTCTTTGAAAATATTGATTAAAATTATAACTTGTTAACAAGTCTTGCCGGGCGCGGTGGCTCAAGCCTGTAATCCCAGCACTTTGGGAGGCCGAGACGGGCGGATCACGAGGTCAGGAGATCGAGACTATCCTGGCTAACACGGTGAAACCCAGTATGCAGTTTGTCTGCAAAGCATGTAATAAAATGTAAAGTACAACTGTAAGTTCTAAATGCACAATTTAGAAAGGAAGAAAAGCTGTAAAGCATTGATTTAAGCCAGCTCAACAAGCTGCTGATAAAAGCAAATTAAGCTCAAATGAACAGTAAAGGTAAGAGGAAAGCAATGAAATAGGGAATATAAATTAGATCCAGAAATTCATTCTGAAAATATTGATTAAAAATTATAACTTGTTAACAAGTCTTGCCGGCGCGTGGCTCAAGCCTGTAATCCCAGCACTTTGGGAGGCCGAGACGGGTTGATCACTTGCGGGGTCAGGAGAGATAGAGATCATTCCATAACACGGTGAAACCCCGTCTCTATTAAGAAATACAAAAAACTAGCTGGGCGAGGTGGCGGGCGCCTGTAGTCCCAGCTACTCGGGAGGCTGAGGCCGGAGAATGGCGTGAACCCCGGGAGGCGGAGCTTGCAGTGAGCTGAGATCCGGCCACTGCACTCCAGCCTGGGCGACAGAGCGAGACTTCGTCTAAAAAAAAAAAAAAAAAAAAAAAAAAAAAAAAAAAAAAAAAGTCTTATCAGAAAAAATAGAGATAATGTTAAGTTATCAATATCAGAATAAATAACAAAGTATCAACCTAGATCTCATAGATAAAAAAGACATTATGATGAATTTATAGTAATAAAGTTAAAATGTTCACAATAATGGATGAGTTCTCAAAATATATAACTCACCACAATTAGCATCAGAATAAATAGATAATCTGAAAGTTTTCACTAAGGAAATTGAATCTAAAATTAAATACCTACACACAAACACTTATCTTTACACACTTTTACTCAGATGATTCAAAGGGAAGTGTTCCAAATGTCTAATAAAGGAATTATATCAATTTTACACAAATACTTCCAAAGAGTAAGACTGGAAGAACTTCCACATCATTTTCTTATTCTATAATAACCTTGATACCAAAACTAGATAAGAAAAAGCAAATTAAGACAATATTTCTCATAAATATATACATAAGCCTATAAAAATATTCCCAAATCAAATTCTCAAATCAAAGTTATATATAACAACATTAATAGACAATTATCTAGTAAGTTTTATTTCAGGAATGTGAGGTTAGTTTACTATTGAAAAATCATTAAAGTCATCATTTTAACAGATTAAAAAACAAAACCCATATGATAATTTTAAGGTATAAACAAAGCCTTAAATACAATATGAATAAAAGGCATTACCTGACCACGATGAAAATTCTTAGCAAACTATAAATATAAAAAGAAATCAATCTGATAATCTATACAAAACCCACACAAAACCTACAGCTAACATTATATTTAATGGTGAAATAGTGAATATTTTCCCTTTAAGGATGGGAAAAAAACAAAGGTATATACCACCATAAATGCTAATGAACTCCAAATGTTCTTGCCACTAAAATAGGGTATGAGAAATAGAATAAAACATATAGATATTGAAGAGGGAAAGGGAAAATATTTAGGAAATCTAATAGTATTACAAGCAATCTATTATAATTAATGAGTAAATTGAACGAGATCATGGGGCACAGTTTACCAAATGGATTTCTATTCTAGCAATAGTTAGAAAACTGGAAAACAAAATAAAAATCTTATTTACAATACTATACGACTAATACATTACTTAGGGATAACTAACAAAAGATGTACTGGATATCTATAAATTTAAAGTATTATTGAGACACTGAATGAGACAAATAAATGAAAGTGTATACTGTATTTATTGATTGGAAAATTAAAAAATTTTAGGATACTAATCTCCCAAATTCTTCTATAGATTTAGTGCAATTACTATCAAGATCCTTCTAGGCACTTTTGTGAAAATTTAAAAGTTGATTCTAATATGTATATAAAAATGAAAATGACCCAGGATAGACAAGTTAATCTTGAGGAAGAAGTAGAAAAGCTTTAGGGTATACCTTACTTGATATGAAGGGCTTAGAAATTAAGACAGTGTGGTATTGATTCAAGGACAAATTGATGTATGGAACAGAATCCAGAATCAGACCACACATACACAGTGACCTGATTCATGAACAAGCTTCACTGCTGTTTAACAGGCACAAAGATAATCTTTACAATAAATTGTGCTGGGTTTATGGAACATCTACCAGGAAAGCAAATGAATTTTGACTCATTTACTGGAAACTGAGGTTTAAGGGACCCCAATTTAATCATAATGAACAAAATAGGACATACTAAAGAGAAAAAGTGTTCTTTTTTAGACTACATTTTCCCAGTCTTAGAAGGACTAGATAAAATGTTTGCTAATAACAAAGAACTAGAAAGTAGAGGCAGTCAAACTAACAGTCTGAGGCATTAGCATTTACTCAGAGATTCTACAACCTAGAGGTACATCTTAGTTACCTGGAGAGTGTTTTAAGAAGACATATTCTTTTCTTTGGGGACTATATCATTTTTTAATTTTAACTTTTATTTTAGATGTGGGGTATACATGTACAGATTTTTACTTGAGAATATTGCATGATGCTGAGGTTTGGAGTATGGATCCTGGCACCCTGGTAGTGAGCGTAGTACCTGATAGGTAGTTTCTTAACTCCCCCCCGCCCCCATTCCTCCACCCTCGAGTAGTCCACATTGTCCATTGTTCCCATATTTACATGATATGCACATCCCATGTGTGCTCAATGCTTAGCTCCCACGTCGCTGGAACTAAAGACCCGAATCCTGAACAAATTAATGCAGAACAGAAAACTAAAAGTACATATTCTAATTCCTAAATAGGAAGTCCCCGACTCAGTAGCCTTAGTACAAGAAGTTGGGCATCTGAGTTCTTAAATGTTCTAAAAATGCTCTGGTATACAGCAAGGGTGTCCTTCTTTGGCGTGAAGTTTTAGATAAAAATCATAGTACGAGGCAAGAAATGTCCAGTTATTCTATGAGATTTCCTTGGGTCATAGTCTACATTCCTAATTGGGTGAGTCAAGAAGGAATCAAAAACTGGATTTAAAAATCTGCCTCAAGAAAGTACTGCATACACTGATATGACTGAAAGTATACATTTTCTGAAAAGTGATATATCCCAATGTGTCAAAAGTCATAAACTATGACTCGATAATTTGTTAAATTACACTACTTTACCATGGTTAACTTATTATTTAAATATATTTTTATTTAATTATATTATTAATTAAATTATATCATTAAATATATTTATTATTTAAATATATATATTTAAATATATACAGTCAATGTACTCATGGCCGTTTTGACAGTCCATAGTACAGTCTGCTATATTTTAAGTGCCGAATCCATGTCAGATATTATAATATGTACTTTATTGAAGCAAAATATTTCTAGATATAAATGGTAGGAGAAACAGACTATTAGACATATTACCAAAATGTTATCAGTGTGTTATCAAGCAATATGATTCCTGAATTCATATCTTGTTTTATATCTTTATTTTTATTTATCCAGTTTCCTAATAAAACACTAATATGACTTCTACAATGAGAAGAAACTGTTAAAAGAAAATTAGAAAATTACGAGTTCCATGAAAAATCTTATTCGGTAAAAATATTAAAATACCATACACACAAAAAGAAAAAGAACTACGTAAGTTGTTCCTCTGTGAAAAAAACAAAAATGACTTTTGATTTCTTCAGTTTCCATTTTTCAGAAACACTGGACTTTGACAGCAAAAATAACTTTTGACTGGCTCATTTATAAGATGGTATAACATTTATAACATGGTAGTCACAGTTATGGAACATCATATTTTCTAGGCCATTCTTAAAAATCACCTCAGATTTATTGGGGTAGGCTGAATAATGCCCCCAAACCCCAAAGAAGTCCACGTTCTGATCCCTGGATCCTTTGAATATGTTACCTTACATGACAAAAATAAGGACCTGGTCATCTAATGCATGCAGTATATCTATTATTAAAAATCATGAATATATGTAACCAAATAGTTCTAAATACAGTTGAGTTTCATCCTTTTAATCTACTATTATTAGAAGATGAAACTGGCATAAAGGATAAGTTCACCTTAAGATAAATTATTGTAAGTTGCTGTTTTCTCCCTGGCAGGCTGTCGCTATTGCATTTCTGACAAACAGTAGGCATCATATGTTTAATGCATTTTCTTATAGCAACCTAACACCTTTTCATTCACTGCTTTCATTTGGGACTGGCTGTTGATCAGAGCTTTGGTATAGCAAAAGAATCATATGCAGTAAGATGGCCAACTAAATGCAGACAGGTGGAACAGCTCCTACCTAGAGACTGAGACGACTGGCATACTCCTGACATGCTCCTAACCATTCTTCTCAAGAGTGGACAGAGGGAGGACACGGAAGCTGGCAGAAGGAGGAGAATGTTGGGAACCCTACATGTAGATAAATTGTACCCAGTCTCGTTCCTGGCCACCAATGGCTCTGGAGGAATGGGTGAGTTGAAATGGCAAAGAGCAAGCTGCCCTTACCACAGGCCTCTGGAGCACTGGCAGGAGACCCCTCAACTGCTGCAGGCATTCAAATTGGCAGAGAGAGCTGCTTAGAGAAGTGGTAGGGGCAGTAAGCCAGCTGATGTGGAGTCCAGAGGTTTTTGTGCAGGAGCATCTGTAGCAGATTAAGGCCAGAGATGGCCATCCTGCTAGGCTTGACTTGCTCCCATAGGAAACATTAGCCCTAGAGGAACTGCTGGATCTGAACACTGCAAAATGGGGTTTGTCCAATAGATAGGGACAGTCTGACCTGAGCACTCCCTGGTCTACTGGCCTCTTCCAGAGCCCCAGCATGACTGCCTACTTGCAGGGCAGCCCCAAGTGATCTGGGGCCTGTGTTATAGTTTCTGTGCTGGCAGACTGTGTGGGACTGGCAGACAGCTCCAGTGGGGCAGCACCTATGTCGAGGCCCGAGCCTACATGCTCCCTCCCTAAATTGTAGCTTCCTCCCGGGCTCAAGGCAACCCCCCCAGAATGCTCTGTTGGTGTATATCTGTGCAGGTAGGTTTTGCTTTCCTGGCACTGACAGCATGCTGGAGTCCAATCTGCCTCTCCTTCCCTTCCAGAATGCCATTGCAGATAGAACCTTGGAGGGCACAGAGCCAGCAAGCCCCACACCTACAAGCACCCCACCCTTGTACTAACACTATACAGAGAACAGTGGATCCTCCTCCATCCTGAGCCATCACTCCTGCTTGAAGGGAACAGAGAAGGTACCCAGACCTATGCCTGCCACTGCCTGGCCCCTGAGCCAATACCACCTTGAGCACAGCTGTTCACAAAGTCTCCAGCAGGGGTCCCCAGCTGCCCCCACCTTCCCCTGAAACCAAGCTGCAAGGGAGGCAGGCACCTCAGAACCCACTAGCACTCTGCCACAGCTTCCACTACTGCTATTGCTGGAATGTGAGGATGGATCCTGCTGTCACTGTACTATGAAAGGCTTTGGCTGACACCATCCATTGGAGTGTAGTGACTTGGGGGTCTGGGAACACCTCGAATTCCCCAGCTCAGTAGATTCCTAACCTTGAGAAGACAGAGAGCAAAGTTGGGTTCCAATATGTGTCTCCCAGTTAGAACACACAGTTCAGGATTTGGGAGCAGAGTGTTGGTCCCCTAAAATCTTCCAGAAATGAAGCCAGTCAACTGAATCCACCTTATACCACAATCAAAACCTCAAAGGAATCAAATAAGATGAAAGCAAGCAAACAAACAAACAAAAATCAAAAGGTTAGCAATGTCAAAGACTGAAAGAAGACAAACCCACAAAGATGAGAAAGAATCAGCACAAAATCTCTGAAAACTCACAAATTCAGAGGGTCTTTTTCCTGCAAACAGCTGAATCATCTCTCCAGCAGGAGTTCTGAACTGGGCTGAGCTGCTGAAATAACAGAAATAGAATTCAGACTAAGGATAAGAAAAAAGATAATTGAGCTAAAGATGTACATTAAAACTCATTCCAAGGAAGCTAAAAATCATGTTAAAACAATGCAGGAACAGACAGACAAAACAAGCAGTGCAGAAAAAAAAAATGGAACCAACCTGATAAAACTGAAAAACGCACTACAAGAATTTCATAAGGCACTCACAAGTATTAGTAGCAGAACAGACCAAATGGAGGAAAGAACCTCAGAGGTTGATGGCTGCCTTTCTGAAATAAGACAGCCAGACAAGAATAGAGAAAAAAGAAGGAAATAAATGAATAAAACCTCAGAGAAATAGGGGATTATGTAAATAGACCAAATGTATGACTCATTGCTGTCCCTGAAAGAGATGGGACGAATGGAAGCAACTTTGAAAACATATTTCAGGATATCATCCATAAGAATTTCCCCAACATAGCTAGAAAGGCCACCAATCAAATTCAGAATATATTCCCAACACAGAAGCACACAGATTCATAAAGCAAGTTCTTAGAGAACTTCAAAGAGACTTAGACTCCCACATAATATTAACAAGAGACTTCAACACCCCACTGACAGCATTAGATAAACCATCGAGGCAGAAAATTAACAAAAACATTTAAGGCCTGAACTCAGCATTGGTTCAAATAGATCTGATCGACATCTACAGAACTCTGCACCAGAAAACAATAGAATATACATTCTTCTCACCACATGGCACAAACTATATAATCGATCACATAATCAAAAATAAAACACTCCTCAGCAAATGGAAAAGAACTTAAATCATAGCAAGCACTCTCTCAGACCACAGCAGAGTAAAGTTAAAAACCAAGACTAAGTATTTCGCTCAAAGGCGTTCAATTACATGGAAACTGAATAACCTGCTCCTGAATGACTTATGGGTAAATCATGAAATTAAGTGAGAAATCAAGAAACTCTTTGAAAGTAATGAGAACAAAGATGCAACATGCTATAATCTCTGGGACACAGATAACACAGGGTTAAGTGGGAATTTTATAGCACTAAATGCTCACATCAAAAAGTTAGAAAGATCTAAACTTGACAACCTAATGTTACAACTAAAAGAACTAGAGAAAGAAGAATAAACCAACTCCAAGCTAGCAGAAGACAAGAAATAAGCAAAATCAGTGCGAAACTGAAGGAGATTAAGGTAAAAAAAAAAAAAAAAAAAAAAAAGGGCCACTCTAAAGATCAACAAATTAAACAGCCTGTTTTCTGAAAATATCAATAAAATAAATAGATCATTAAATATACTAATAAAAAATAAGAGGGAACAGATTCAAATAAACACATTCAGAAAGAACAAGAGGCATATCACCACTGACACCGCAGAAATACAAATAACCACCACATAATGTTATGAACCCCTTTATGCACATCAAGTAGAAAATCTGGAAGAAATGGATAAATTCCTGGACATGGATATCCTCCCAAGACTGAGGCAGGGAAAATTGAGTGCCTAAATAGAACAACAATCAGTTCTGAAATTGAATCAGTAATAAATAGCCTACCCACCCCCAAAAAAATCCCAGGACAAAATGGATTTACAGTTGAATTGTACCAGAAGTACAAAGTAGAGCTGGTATCATTTCTCCTGAAACTACACCAAAAAATTCTGGAAGGGAGGCTCCTCCCTAACTCATTCTATCATCCTGATACCAAAACCTGACAGAAACACAACAAAAAAGGAAAACTTAGGGCAATATCCTTCATGAACATTTATGCAAACATCCTCAAAATACTGGCAAGCCAAATCAGAAAACACTTCGAATATCTTTTCTACCATGATCAAGTAGGCTTTATCCCTAGGATGCAAGGTTGGTTCAATATACACAAATCAATAAGTGTGATTCATCATTTAAACAGAACTAAAGACAAATCCACATGATTATCTCAATAGAAGCAGAAAATCTTTTCAATAAAATTCAACACCCCTTCATGCTGCGACTTCAACACAGTAATAGGGCTAGACTTCAACACACCACTGGCAGTATTAAATAGATCACCAAGGCAGAAAAAATAGCAAAGATATTCAGAACTGGAACTCAACATTGGACCAAAAGAATCTGTTAGACCTCTATAGAATTCTCCACTACAAAACGACCGAATATGCATTTTTCTCATTGCGACATGGCACATAATCTAAAATTGACCATATAACTGAACATAAAACAATAATCAGCAAATGCAAAAGAACTGATATAATAACAAACACACTGTTGGACCACAGTGGAATAAAAATAGAAGCCAAGACTAAGATAATTGTTCAAAACCATGACACTACATGGAAATTAAGCAACATGTGCCTGAATGTCTTATGAGAACAAAGATACAACATCCCAGAATTTCTGGCACATATAAAAAACCTTTTAAAAGATCAATGAATTCAGGAGTTCGTTTTTTGAAAAAAGTGATAAAATAGACTGCTATCTAGAATATATAAAGAAGAAAAGATAGAAGATTCAAATAAACACCATTAGAAATGATGAAAGGAAGGTTACTGCTGACCCCACAGAAATAAAAATAACCATCAGAAACTACTATGAACAGTTCTTCGTACATACACTAGAAAACCTAAAAGAAATGGATAAATTCTTGAACACATGCAGCCTCCCAAGACTGAACCAGGAATAAGTTGATGTCCTGAACAGACAAATAACAAGCTCTAAAATTGAATCAGTAATAAATAGCCTACCAACTAAACAAAGCACAGGATCTGACAGAGTCAGAGCTGAATTGTACCAGATGTACAAAATATAGCTGGTACCATTCCCAGTGAAACTGTTCCAAAAAATTGAGGAGAATAAACTCCTTCCAAACTCATTGTATGAGGCCAGCATCATCCTGATCAAAACCTGGCAGAGTCCCAACAAGAAAATAAAACTTCAGGCCAATATTCTTTATGAACATCAATGCAAAAATCCTCAAAACAAAACCTTGCAGACTGAATTCAGCAGCACATCCAAAAGCTAATCCACCATTATCAACTAGGCTTCATCCCCAGGATGTAAGGTTGGTTGAATATACACAAATCAATTAAAGTGATTTATCATATAAAAAGAACTAAAGACAAAATTCACATAATTATCTCAACAGGTGCATAAAAGGCTTTTGATAAAATTTAGCACCTCTTCACATTAAAAATTCTCAATAAACTGGGTATTGATAAAACTTTTGAACAACTAAGAAGGAAGCAACAGACACTGAGGTCTCCTTAAGGGCAGAGAGTAAGAGGAGGCAGAGGAACAGAAAAGGTAACTATTGGGTATTACTGGGCTTAGTTCCTGGGTGATTAAATAATCTATAGAACAAATCCCTATGACATGAGTTTACCTATATAACAAGCCTTCATATGTAATCCCAAACTTAAGATAAAAGCTATGAGTAATTGAAAAAAGAAGGAACAAACCCACAGTCAACATTGTGTTGAATGGCCAAAGGCAGGAAGCATTCTCCCTGAAAACCAGCACAACACAAAAATACCCTCTGTCACTACACCTATTCCACATACTATTGGAAGTCCTGGCCAGGGCAGTCTGGCAAGAGAAAGAAATAAAAGGCTTCCAAATAGAAGGAGAGGAAGTAAAAATATACATGTTTGCAGATGACATGGATTCTACCACATAGAATCAGTCCAAAAGCTCCTTAAGCTAATTAACATCTTCAGCAAAGTCTCAAGATACAAAAATCAATGTGCAAAAGTCAATAACATTTCTATACATCAACAGCAGTCAAGCTGAGAAATGTAATCTCAATCTTCCACAGGAAGAATAAAATACATAACTGGGGAGGTGAAAGATCTCTAAAAGGAGAACTACAAAACACTGCTCAAAGAAATCAGATGTGGGACAAACAAATGGAAAAATCTTCCACAGTTATGGATAGAAATAATCAATATCATTAAAATGATCATGCTGCGCAAAGGAATTTACAAAGTCAACACTATTCCCGTTAAATTATCATTAATATTCTTCACAGAACTAGGAAAAAAAAAAAAAAACTCTTAAAACTCATATGGAGCCAAAAAAGAGCCCAAATAGCCAAGACAATCTTAGCAAAAAGAATAAAGCTGGAAGTATCATGCTACCTGACTTCAAACTATATTACAAGGCTACAGTAATCAAGGCAGCATGGCACTGGTACAAAAAGTAGACACATAGCCAATGGAAAAGAATATGGAACCCAGAAATAAGGCCACATGCCTACAACTATCTGCTGTTTAGCAAACTTCGCAAAAACAAGAAATGGGGAGAGGACTCACTATCCAATAATTGGGGCTGGGTGAATTGGCTAAAAATGTACAGAAGATTGAAACTAGACTCCTTTCTGATACTATATACAAAAATTAACTCATGATAGATTAAAAGCTTAAATGTTAAAATCAAAATAATAAAAACTCTGAAACACAACCTAGGACATCACATTCTGAACTTAGGAACAGTGGCAAAGATTTTATGACAAAGGTACCAAAAGCAACTGCAACGAAAGCAAAAATTGACAAATGGAAGGTAAATAAACTAAAGAGCTTCTGCACAGAAAAAGAAACTATCATTCAAGTGAACAGACAACCTACAGAATGGGAGAATAATTTTGCAAACTGTGCATCTGACAACCATCTATAAGAAACTTAGACCAATTTGTAAGAAAACAACAAACAACCTCATTAAAAAGTGGAGGAAGAATATGAACAGATGGTCTTCAAAAGAAGACGTATGTGCATACAACAAGCACATGAAAAAAGCTCATCAGTGATTATTAGAGAAATGAAATCAAAACCACAATTAGATACCATCTCACAACAGTCAGAATGACTATTATTAAAAAGTCAAAAAATAACAGATGCTGATGAGGCTGCAGAGAAAAAGAAATGCTTATACACTGCTGGTGGGACTGTAAATTAGTTCAATCATTGTGGAAGACAGTGTGGTGATTCCTCAAAGACCTAAAAACAGCAAAACCATTACTAAGTATATACTCAAAGCAATATAAATCATTCTTTCATAAAGACATATTCACATATATGTTCATTGCAGCACTATTTACAATAACAAAGATATGGAATCAACCTACATGCCCATCAGTGATAGACAGGATAAAGAAAATGTACATATACACAATGGAATACTATGCAGCCATAAAAAATGAGATAATGTCCTTTGCAGGAAAATGGATGGAGCTTGAGGCCATTATCTTTAGGAAACTAACACAGGAACAGAAAACCAAAACCAAATGTTCTCACTTATAAGTAGGAGCTAAAAGATAAGAATACATGGACACATAAAGGGGAATAATAGACATTTAGGCCTACTGGAGGTTAGAGTGTGGGAGGAGGAAAAGGAGCAGAAAAAAAATAACTAATGGGTACTAGGCTTAATGCCTGGGTGATGAAATAATCTCTACAGCAAATCCCTATGACAGAAGTTTTTCTTTATAACAAATCTGCACATAAAACCCTGAAGTTAAAATAAACATTTAAAAGAAGAGAATCAAGTCATATCTCTACACCCCTTTCTACTATTTTGAAATGGGTTACTAAGGTGGTCACTCAGACAACTAGATAAATGAGAGCTGTTGTGTTTATTGTTTTTGAGAGTTAGTTTTTGCACTACCTTAGCAAACAGCATCTATTAAAAGACTGGTCAATGTCTGTTGAATAGAAAACATGAATTCTTTAAGGGGAAATAACTGAACCTGAGAAGAAGGAACACACATATAAAATACATTGCCTTTAATTCCTTTTCCCATTTTCAAAGTTCACAATCTGCTGGGAGGTATTTGTTAGAATGATATATGTGTTTAATTTCATTCAGATAAGCAATACAAGAACTTTGAAATCTTAAACATACTCTGTACATTACAACCTCACAAATTAGTTGTGATCTACAGTTTCACTGTAGTTTCTTTTTTCAGAAAAACTGCTTGGTCTTTTTTATTCTTTGATTTACATTATTGATCTGGGACTATCTTAATTTTCATGTAACTGCATATATCTTCATTATACCATAGGAAGTACTGAGTGCCTTACTTCTCTGAGCCTTTCACAGTTTCATCAGCCTTTTGTAATATGTACTTCCAGTCAGGCAGCAACTGGAGATCAATGTGGAGAATAACAAGGACATCGCAGGGCTGTAAAACCTCTTCTCTTGAGTACCATTCCTGCATTTGTTCCATGACAAGGAATTTATGAATACCCCTGTTGGACTTTTATGACTACATAAGCTAGCCTAACCCTGTGCTATCAGGCTTGGACACAATAATTTATACTGCTTCTGTTTTGCTAAATTCCTGGTCCTGCCACAAATATTTTTATCATTGCTTATGACTTATAGCTAACTAAACAAGCACACATCAGTTATAAACATCTTTAAAACACTTTATTTGATAAATTACTCATTGGCTTAAGAATTATCAAAGTTTTCATAAGAAGTTTTCCAAAATACTAGCATTCTGTCTGTAGCAGGGACAGCTATCTGTGCAATAAGAAAGTCATGGTCCTTTTCCACGGCATAGAGTTGTTGCCCCAAACTGGCAGCCAAACCATGATCCCCATTTTCTAGGAATAAAAGGAGAACATAAAAAATGCCTATATTCCCCGCCAAAGTGATTGATATGTGAATATGATTTCTCCACCTTCTCTCTTCGTGATCCTGCAGCCTGGAGAGCAATGGACAACCTTAAAAGCCACATGTTGCTGATGCCAGGAACTGTCAGCTTTGGTTCCTGAATGCTTGTTTTTAGCTAAGGCCACTGCCCTTCTTCTTTCCTGTCACATATCAGGAACATCTACTTTTTAATTTATGTGATTGAGAAGCAAACCTCTGTTGTGGTAAGCCACAGATATCTCTAATGTTTACTTATCCATACACTACGGAATATATTATTCTAGTCAATATTTCTTTTACATAGTTAATTTAGGTTAATTAGGCACCAATATCCAACATATGCTAAGAAATCCTTATTATTTGGGGATCTAATAATTCTAAATTATGATAGTTTGTATTATCACAGTGGAAATTTACATTTACAGCTTCAATGAATAAATGAATTAATAAACAAACTTTTAAAACCAATTAACTAGGTAAATACTACTTTAAGAAGCCACATGTACACATTTATTAAAGCCAAAAAAGAACACTTGAATAAATTGAGTGGTATGTGATACAGATTAATAAACTCAGTGTCAAAGACAGAGAGGCCTGGCTTTGGCCTCAAGGTCTGCTGTTGTAGCTGGATGATTTTGTATAGGTCTTTTAATTTCTCTACTTTCTTATTTGAAAAATGAATATATTAATTGTTTCTACCTTAAACTGTGACTCAGCTTCGACACATATCACTACTACCACTGATGGACCTCAGATAAACCCCAGTTATGCTGAACAAATTTTGGGTGATGTCAGAAAGACATTCAATAGATAAGGGTGGCATACAATACCTCATTCATAAAGTGACAGTGGAGTAATCAACAGCATGGAATGGAGAAGGGGAGAGGGAGGGAGTTCAGGGAAAAGTCCACCACATACTTAAGCAGTTTGCTTCACTCCCCATGGAATCCATGATAAAGCTATCTGATTAACTCTCCACTCCCACTGCTGCGTGGTCCAAGCCCAAAACTCTGCTATTAGAGAAAATGCAGGCTCTTTGATTTACTAATAGTTTGTGGATAGAAGGCCATTACTATTAATAGAAAAATTGGCATCAATATTCTCTGTGGATGATAAAACCTTTATGGAAAAAAATTGGAAAAGCCTGAACAGTGAGTAAAGTTAAACCTTTCATCAGTGGAAGAATATTTACGTTTCCCCTATCAGTAGGGTGAACAGATAATCAAATACTTGGGCTTTAGTCATTGGCTTTGCTGTATAGTTAGGCAAATGAACCCTAGATAATTGCACAATAAAAACTCTCCTGTATGGAAAAATCAGTCATGAATTTCTGTGGGAATTTTGAGGGAGAATTAGAATGGGTTATGTGAAACATGCATACACACACACACACACACACACACACACACACAGAACAACAACTCAGATGTTAGCTCATTGGAATTTTCAGGCAAAGTGCTTAGGATTGTAGTGCCGATTACCTGGTTTCATGAAAAGAGGAGGCATGTTGGTGCTGCTGCTAAGCACTGTTGCGCTAGGAGAGAAGACATTTTAATTGCACACAATGAAATAGCTAATATAATTTTCAAAAGAAAAAGAATACATATCACCCAAATGTTAACTGGAATGAAATTCATTGAAAATCCCCTTGAGTTGAATTCCCCAGGGACAAGGACCTATGGAATAGGTGAGTGAATTACTTTAGATTTTTATCAGCAGCCTCCAGGTCTACAACTGGATGCTAACAGATGTTATTCTGTTCTATTTTAGGCATTGTTTGTTAGTTAAAATATAAAATTCAGAGGACACAATTAAAAGTATGAAACAGAAAAATCAATTTTGCTATCAGGCAGCCTGAATATATTTCTTCTGATTATGGTATGCACTTTGCTGTACAGAAATGGTCAAGAAAAGTAATATTACATGGATATAATATATTTGTCATCATCTTTAAAATTTTGGTCTTGACAATTAAAGTTGGCTTAGTTGATTAAATAAATTAGCACAAAAATTAAATATGAGAGTAAATATGCTCAGGTTCTATTGGAAGTTTCTGGGTTCAGGATGTGGTATGAAGGGATAGGAGAGGATTATCATTACCCAATCGTGCATCTTTCCAAGTTCACACAATTTTTCTTTTATTTGTCCCTAGGCCCATTTTTAAGTTTATATGTACCTAAAATTGAACATTTCAGTAGCCAAAACTTTTTACACAGCATATCTGTAAGGAAGTGTTGGGATGGGTGATGACATGGCCCATGTAGCAATATTAGAATCAGCTATGAACACTCTAATACAAAGCAGGACAGCAAGAGTACTCTAATTCTTAACCTGTCAAATACCATGGCATCTACCTATATGGATACAAGGCTTAGCATAGGTGCTGTTGTTGTTTTTTTGCAGCTCTGTGGATGCATCATCCTCCCACTGAATTAGATATCCCAGCTATAAAAGGGAAAGGTATGAGGAGATGGTCAGAGTGATGCTGTACTGAAATCAGCAAATTCCCGTCCTCTTTGTTCTCTTAGATCACAGAACACCGAGGGCCACTTTATACTTTGGTAGAAAATTAGAGATTTTCTCCCTGAAGAAACTAAATAACACAAGAGTAAAATATATATGGTCTTTAGACCGTTGGTTATATTCCAGTGCAATAGCAATATCGCTGACATATCACCACAGATTGAGATCTATTGGTAAACAAGTCCAAACTCTAAGTTCAGTTTTTCATCTACCTGTAAATGCTTCACAGTTAAATTTGAGTGGGTATCTAAGAATTATTAAATAAATGCAACAAAAAATAAAGTAATGAAAATAAAGAGGGAAAACAAAAAATCAAGTAGTGAGAAAAATCAAGTAGAGAAAATCAAGATAAATAGTAAGGAAAAATCAAGTAGTGAGACTAAAGAAAAAATAAAAACAATAAAGAGACAAGGGACTGTTAATTGTCCATATGATTTTTAGTGACATTTGATTTAAAAACTACTTATATAAAAATATTTAATTTAAACATTAAATGAGAATAATCTATCATAAACAAGTAGGGACAGGGAGAAAATATCCTATGATATGATAACTTAATTTTTTGCGATGTTTCCTTTGGAGACAAGTTCAATGGACATCTATACATCCATGCCAATTTATGATTGATACGGTTTTTCACATTTTATATAGTATTAGTTATATGTGTAAATTTGTATACGATGACAATTTTTGGAAATGAAATCTCAATCCATTTATAATTTAGTGATTTTTAATTATTCACTAAATTGCACAGATTGTTATTCATTAACAGATGCTTTTGCTCTAATAGTAGTTGAATTTGTATCATGTTAAATGGCATTACTTTAGGTAACCATTTGATTTGTATTCACAACCTATAAAATTTAATGAGAATCCAAAATATGGAATATTTAGTAGGGACTCTTCATTTAAATCCTATAATTGGTTGTAGAAGGATTATATTTTGGTATTTTATATTCACTTTATTTATTTATTTATTTATTTATTTATTTATTTATTTAGAGACAGAGTCTCTCTCTGTCACTCAGGCTGGGGTGCACAGGAGCCATCTCAACTGACTGCCACCTCTGCCTCCCTGGTTCAAGTGATTCTTCTTCCTCAGCCTCCTGAGTATCTGGGGCTAAGGCGTGTGCCACCACACCAGGCTAATTTTTGGCATTTTTAGTAGAGATGGGGTTTCACTATTTTGGCCAGGCTGGTCTCGAACTCCTTACCTCAGGTGATCCACCCGCCTCATCCTCCCAAAACTTTGGGATTACAGGCGTGAGCCACCACACCCAGCCTATGTTCACTTTTTAATAAGAGGAAATCACACAGGAAGAAAAACTAACGTAGATAGGTGTTAGAGGTCACAGATGTTCTTTTCCTGTCTTTTCTATAGAGACAAAAACCAAAAACCAAACCAAACCAAAATATCCTTCATTTACTCTATGTGTCAAGAGTCCTCAACTTTTAACGATTCACTAGAATGACTCAGAGAACTCAGAAAATCTGTTTGAGGCACTCAGAAAAAAGTTTTCAAAATTTTCCTCACATATCATTTTCCTTTTGCCTGAAAGCAATTTCCCCATATTCTACAGTTTCACAGTGACTAAATGCATGCAGAGCTAAGCTGAAGCATCACTCATAATTTAAAATATTTCTAACACCTTCATACTTGTTTAGGTGCCTTTTTACAATTTCTCTATATTTCAATACTGTTGTTTATGTCTATTATAGCACTTCAATGAAATTTTTTATTAAGAAAAACAAAACCTCTCTATAGACTTTGAGCTCTTTAAGCAAAATGGTAATGGTTTAAAATTTCTGTATTTACTGTTCCAGTAAACTACCTTGAATTTAGTACATTCTTGATAACATGCAATGAAATGAATTATTCAATTATGTTATGTCACATCAAGAATTGCATCTGTTCATTATGTGAAACATCACAGTGTTTGTATAATTATATCTCTAAAACTAAGTAAGTATAGATGGATAATGTTTAACTAAAGTTAAATATGTACTAAAAGAACTCATATATATATATATATATCTAACAAGTTTATTTTAGTGTTGGTGTTACATTATATCAACCTGGCTAGACTAGCACATTCATCACAATTATTTTTCTAATGTGTTTTCAGATAGGGTAGGCTACAAGAGCTATTCTCTTCTGTAAGTTAGATCTGGAAAGGAGATAACAGCTGTTTGGTAGCATACACCCACTTTGTACCAGTTATTCAATCACACATTAATGTACTTGCTGCTGTGAGGGGATTTTGCAGATATAATTAGAGTTCCAAAGAGGTTAATTCTGGGTTAATTAAAATAGAGGTTATCTCAAGTGGGTCTGATCTAATCCTATTTGGTGTCCGTTAAAAAAGAGACTGGATGAGACATTAGACATAAAGAGATTTTTAGCAACACCCGAGCTGTAATCACCCTTCCTTTCACATGGATCCTCCCTTTATGACTGCTCTGTGAACTTTGGGATAGTTGAGCCAGCCCTCATGATTGTGTAAGCAGATTACGTGTAGTAAGCCATATGTGTGCCTATGTCTGTGTGTGTGTGTGTGTGTTTGTGTGTGTGTATTTATATGATCTACCGTTTCTGCTCTTTAGTTAAACCCTAACTGATACAATTTTAACTGACATTTTATAATAATGTTCAACACAGCTGGTACTTTATCTACTTGCTATTTGGATAGATGTACTGAAGTATACATTGTATAGTAAAACAAATTCTTACTGCTGTGATCCCAATCTTAAATGCCCTTAGAGGTCAGACACAATGGAGGTGGTGTGGCCTGTGGCCAACTGGGAAGAACATTTTTATTCACACAACATTTCACAGAGAAATCGTGTACATTCAAAGAGAGTTAAATAATGTGTTCGTCAAAGAGCATCCGCCCAGCATTCTACACAAAGGCTATGTACCTCTAACTGCAGAATTCAGACCTTTGTTCTTTAGACCAGCTTTATACCCTGCTGTGTTCACTATCGTCCAAAGCTGTCTGAACCAGTGTTCTGCCCATTAGTTATAATCAGCAAACAACCCTTCATATGTTGGAAGAGCAAACAGAAGAGGACAGAAAGAGAACTCTGTAAAGACAGAACTCTGTAAAGTTTCCAGCTGAGGGGTGTGTGTGTGTGTGTGTGTGTGTGTGTGTGTGTGTGTCTGACAGAAATGGATCCATTAAGACCCTGTGTCCAATATTTGGTTGGGTGCATAGCAGAGGCTTTGTGATTCATGACACGCATCCACCTGTTCCTGAGATACAATCAAGATTTCAGATATAAGCTAGCTTTTTTTTTTTTTTTTTTTTTTTTGAGACGGAGTCTTGCCCTGTCGCCCAGGAGGCTGGAGGGAGTGCAGCGGCGCGATCTCGGTTCACTGCAAGCTCTACCTCCCGAGTTCACGCCATTCTCCTGCCTCAGCCTCACCGCGCCCGGCTAATTTTTTGTATTTTTAGTAGAGACGGGGTTTCACTGTGTTAGCCAGGATGGCCTCGACCTCCTGACCTCGTGATCTGCCCGCCTCGACCTCCCAAAGTACTGGGATTACAGGCGTGGGCCACCGCACCCGGCCTAAGCTAGGCTTTTAAAAAATAAAGTGTAGAATCACACAAGATAATATATCAGATACCATTGAAACATGTGTCTTTGTTGTATGTATATTCTGTCTTTTCACACACTTCTTTTCATAACATATACTTTTTAAAGCTTAATATCTATGAAACTATCATGCAAGGGGGGTAATACTAATAATCGCTTTTCTTCTGTCTGTATAGTTCATCTTGCCGAAATTTATTTTGATTTATCACATTGTCAGTTATCCCTTAGTTGTCATTATGTTTACCTTCAAATCCTCATCAGACTTCAACCGAGAATGAGTGCTTTGCATCATTGCTTGTTTATGTGGAAAATATTTAGGATTTGACATAGATATAAATTAATCATGTATTAGCAACTCTGAAATTCAATTTTCACTTCCCACAGGGAGCATGTTCAATCCCTATTGAATAAAAA